CACACACACACACACACACACACACACACACACACACACACACAAGCTGAGTAGCATTCCAAGGTTTTGTCTTGACAAGAAGAGTGATAAAACTCCTAACGCCCAATAAACCATGAACAGATCCACTGATAATGGTTTCACGTTCCAGTTGGAAATTTTTATGAATCATACCTGTAATTATAAAATGCTAGAAAACATGGTCACCTGGTTTGATCCAAACTATACACACAGGTACTATGTTTCAATAGAACTCACTGTTTAGACTGCACTGCAAACTAGTCACACGTAATCTGGAAGAACTTTGCAAAATATTTTCAAATATGTAAATTACAAGTCTTTGCCTGTGGTGACAGCTTTTTTCTTTTCTTTTTTTTTTTACTTCATGCAGTCCTGCAACAGCAACTGCAGGGACAGTGTGTTCAAACTCCAGAAAGCTCTCAGCACCCTCCGCAGGCGGGCTGCCTGATTGGCTGAGAGCTGGCAGTGATGTCACCGCTGCATGTTATAAGGGCTCTGACAAATAGCCTGAGAGACACATTAGAGGAAACACTGCTCAACTGACACACGCAAGAGAGAAACATGTTAAGGTTTTTAAAAGTGGAATGGAATACATAGCAGGAGCTAYATGAACATTGTCTTGGTGCATGAAAGTAGGAGCCACAACAACTACTTGTTGAGGTTTGTAGCTTCTTCTTTTATTTTTTATTTTTTTATGACTTGCATTGTGCTTTAAAGCTCTGAAAATATTTTTATTAAATATGTTGTTTTATTAATGCTGAAGCTGTAACATTTTGTTTAAATTCAATATCAAAGCAACTGTTTCACATTTATTTTACTTTTTATTTTTCAATTTTACTTTGAAACTGATATTCATCCATGTGTATTTGTGTGTTTTTGTTGCATACATGCACGTCTGTGTCTCTCTGTGTGTGTGTGGGTGCGTGTTTGTCTTCTATGTAMAATCTTTTTTAGATGAATTCTACAACCACTCCATCCAACTTCAGTGTGATCGATGGGATCAACTTATCGTCACCCCACAATGAGGGAAACAGTGAAAAAACAAGTCATCAATTCAAGGTCCTGCTGGCCATCATCATGTCTTTTCTGGTTCTGTGCATCGTCTTCGGCAACATCCTGGTCATAACAGCGATTTCCCGTTTCCAGCGTCTCCAGAACGTCACCAACTGTTTCGTCACGTCTCTGGCCTGTGCCGACCTGGTCATGGGTCTCATGGTGGTTCCCTTTGGTGCGAGTTCCGTCATCTTTGATACTTGGTACTTTGGCAATTTTTGGTGTGAGTTCTGGACGGCAACTGATGTGCTCTGTGTAACCGCGAGCATCGAGACCTTGTGCGTTATAGCCATAGACCGATATTTGGCCATCACATCACCTTTTCGCTATCAGTCATTGTTGACAAAGTGCAAAGCTCGAATTGTGATTCTGCTGGTTTGGGTGATAGCGGCACTGACATCATACCTGCCCATCCACATGAGGTGGTGGGTATCAGATGATCCAAATGCAGAGAAATGCTTTAATGACACTAACTGCTGTGAGTTTGACGTCAACACAACTTATGGCGTCCTCTCTTCTGTCATCTCCTTCTACATCCCTTTGATCATTATGATTTTTGTCTACAGCCGTGTTTTCCAGGAGGCTAAGCGACAACTGAAAAAGATTGACCAAAGCGTTGGCCGCTTTCAAAAGAGCAACAGTGACGATGATCAATCTTTGGAAACCAGCAATGGGCGCAGACTAAAAAAGATCAAGTTTTGCCTTCGGGAGCACAAAGCCCTTAAGACACTAGGCATCATTATGGGCGTCTTCACTCTCTGCTGGTTGCCGTTCTTTCTGCTCAAYGTGGCCTGGGCTATATGCAAAGTGGAGTACAGCAAAGTGGAGTTCAACCTCTCCTTTAGGATTCTCAACTGGATAGGCTATTCCAACTCTGCCTTCAACCCCATCATTTATTGCCGGAGTCCCGATTTCAGGTACGCKTTTAAGGAACTCCTGTGCTTGAACAGAAACCCCTTCAGCAACCCAGGACCTGTGAACGGATACGTCTACAGCAGGCACAGCTGGCAGAGCGAGCCACAAAGGAGGAGTAAGGGCAGCCTGGACGATGATGACACCAGTGAAAGGTGTCCGGGAAAGGGTGCAGGGGTCTGCTGCCTTAAGGACAAATCAGTAGACCCGAATGGAAACAACAAAACCCTGTCAACTGTGACGACTTCCCTGTAAACCTGGAGCTCCAAGACTTCATTAATCAGGGGAAACTCAACCGTGTTTACACTGCGATCACACACTTTATTTTATTTCTAATTGACTAATGAAGGTAAGGCCAGGCAGTGTAACTGGCAGAGTCTTGTAACTGCTTTAAACAAACGGCAATAATCATKATGAGCTGAGGAAAGTATTCCATTTATACTGTAGATAGTTTTTTTTACATGGATCATAATTATTTTGCATCTACCTCATCACAGCTTTACGTTGTTTTTGTCTTAACTGTCTTTTTTTACATTATGTGRACATTAGCTAACTAGGTATGTGTGCATTAACTCAAATAAATKGTCCGTGAATGACATAATTACAGATGAGCTGCTTTCAGTTAAATTTTATTCTTCTCAAACTTTTATTTGAATTACATCAAAATTCATATTTGTGTTGAGATATATATATATATATATATATATATATATTAATTTCAGTGGAGATTTGAAAGTTGGTAGTTTGATTCAAGAATGCTCATTTGCTATTTGGAGTAAGAAATCAATTTGCATTACTGGTTGATAAGCGGACCAATTGCATCTCTTTGACACACTGTTCCAAAAAGTACATTCCTTATCAGATTAGGTTTTTTGTTTGTTTGTTTGTTTTGCTTGTACTTTTTGTCTTTGTGTTTGTAGAAGCTTCTAAGACCAGAAAGAAACTAACAAAAAAGAAAAAAAAGTCAAGCAGGAAATGTCTGTATCCTGCTCTGGTGTTCTGCAGACTGTTGCATGTAAGTTTCTGTGGTCAGCAGATCCTACTAGAGACGCACGCGTTCACTAAAATGAAGCTCGCCATCGAGCTGAAACACACCTGTGGGCATCGTCTGATGAAAATCTTTGATAAAACTTGAAAGTTTGGGTTWGCATTACCATGGCTTGATGAGTCGCGTACAGTCGATGACTGTGCAGAAAGCTGATGGCATTGTTGATAAGGTTGTACATTTCCCTTCAATGCTTATTGGGCTTTTAAAATCAAAAAAAGAAAAAGGAAAAAATATTTATTTATTTATTTATTTATTCTTTCACGGTGTGCAAATGCACAACTCAAATCTGTCACGTTCTGCCGGTCGGTTCAAATGTGCAACATGCATGCACCATTTTGTTTCATTTTATGGCTGTTGCATAAAAGTCAGAGAACTAGTTAGTTGGTTCATCACTGGTTGTCCAGTTGGTTGCACAAGYTTAGTTGCTAAAAATGTGTGGTTGTTGTGTTTCAATATGTATCGTGCCTACTGCAACCAGACAAGTTATTTCCTCATAACACAAGGGTACAAACCACACCTAATATAATAATAATAATAATAATAATAATAATAATAATAATAATAATAATAATAATAATAATAATAATAATAATAATAATAATAATAATAATAATAAACAAGGCGTCAACACGATCACGTTATAAATTTCAGGTCCAGGACACGGTGGGGGCGACTGCATGCCAGTAAACAGAAGTCCAAAACAGTCCCTGCTCCTAAAGAGTGCACCTTTTGTCATCGCCTCCCCCTGACATTTCCTAAACCTCCTTCCCCTTGTGTCCAGACGTGACGTCTCTGCATGTCTGACATCAGCACAACATTTGGAGAAGGCATTTAGGAGGCTGTGCCTCAGCTGTTCTCGTTGTTTCACTCACTTTCAGTCAGTCGTCTTTCAGGGATTCTGATTGTGCGGTTTCCAGGAAACAACTCGGACCAGCTGAGACCAGCGCCAGTAAACAGGAATAAATACATTATCTCTGTTGTTTAGCTGAAGAAGCAGATAAGTCCTGAGCAGAGAAAAAAAACATTTGAATAGATTAGTAGATTAACAAGTGTAGAGTTTCTAATTAGCAGGTTATGATGAGATTTAAATGGCCAACCTGRAAACGAGACGTTGTTTCTTATCACCTGTTTTGGGTACTTTTGTTCTTTGTCTTGTGAGGGAGGCTGTAATGGATGCTGAGCACTCAGCCTGCAGGGTGTCATTGAAGGAATTCACCTTCTTTTCTTCTAAATTGTGTTAAAGATCATTAGAGTAAACAGGGGTAATGAAGTTGGAACCCTTCATTTCTTTCCTCAGACAGTTGAGCTGTCTGTTTGATCGGATCAAAGTGACAACACACTAAAGTTAGCTTTCAAAGCTGGGGTGGGGGGGGGGGGGGGGGATTCTCTGTCAGTCTAAATTGGTGCTCCTGCATGTAGCATTGCCTCTGTGTGTGGACTTAGATCAGCTGGCTCTGACAAAACTGTGAACTTTGTTCTTTCATAGGAAATCTCAAAGTACTGTAAGCACAAGCTTTGCTCTTATCACAGACCCCAGGAATAGACGCAAACACGGCGTCTCTGCACGTCAACGTTAGACCATGTGAAAAGCGAGCTTTTCCAGCCTGTCGATCTCTGCCTGTTTTTCCTTCGGTGGCGATTTACGGTAAAGTAAATGCAGGGGTTGAAATGTCAACACAATTGCTCCCTTAGCTATTTCCCCCCCAACATTTTGACTGTACTTCGTGCTGAAAGCACAGATTTGATAAATTTGTGAGACCAAGTTTTTATGTTATTGCATTTTTTTWAAATTTGTCACTAAAATGATTCTGTGCTGGCTCTTTAGTGTCTTTAGGACATGCCCTTTTCAAAGCACTGTGCGGGTGATTGTTTGCATGTCTGCTGTATGTTTGTCGTGTCACATTCATGGACTTCTATGTCCTTTTCCTTTCACAGTGACCTCTTTTTGCCCAGAATGCTTTTGAGCCATACCTCCACACTGCTCCCTCCTGGCAGTGGCCTGTCGTTGCACCTAGGCCATCTGTCTCYGTTATAAATGGCTACTGTTTTTGTCAATACTCCTGTATAATAAGGAACGCTCTTCATGCCTTGAGGACACAATGCTGTTATGCGCAATGAGTCTTGAATGATGGGCTGACATTACAACATTCCAGGCACATCTGGTGTTTTATATCATGCCTTCAGTGCACATTCAGTCCTCTCACCCATGTTTTGTCTCAGATTACCAACTGGTGGACTTATTAAATCTAAAACAAAAGGGTCTTTTTAGAAGGGGGATTATGGGTTTCTGAAGACAAGTCTTAGAGGACACATTACAATTTTGGCACGCTCAAATCTCTCATTTTTCAAGGTAACTGAATACAGTGTATGTCATGGACTGACGCGTTAGTGTGATTCAAATGTATGTGGGTTAATGCCTGTGCCATCCTTCATCATTCACTTTTGCTTTTATGGATTAAAAGTCACTTTGTCCCTCAAGAACGCCCTCATAATTCAGATCAGGCCATTCACTTTCCTAAAGAAGCACTTTGTGGAACACTTTAAATGATGCATTTAGAGAGATTTTGCCAACTTGAAGGCAAATTCGAACCTGTAAACCATTGAGAAATGAAAATATGCCTGCTCATTTCTGTCATCTCATTTTCCCCAAAGAGTCACGAGAAAGAGCGGCTGAGCAGAGTTCGCTCAGGGCGAAGTTTGCAGAAACTGATGTGTAAAAATATGAMTTTTCTATTCAATTTACATATTGTTTATCTATCATGTGTGCACATTAGAAAAAAGTAAAAAAAAAAAACGTGGTCAGAATGAAAACATGTTTCACTCAGCTGAATGTTTACTAAATGTTTGCAAGCTATTTTTTGTACAAGTTCTTGTCATTGTTCCTCGAGATCTGTTATAATATTTGGTGCCCTGTGGTATTTATTATTAAAAAAACAAGAGACAAGTGTGTAATGTAATATTTTTATTAAAAAAAATAAATTACGTTCATGTTGCATGTGATGCTATCATTGTGCTGTCTTTATATTTTATCGTGGAGGGAGGGGCAGACTTCATGTAGACTCTAAGCAGTTAAATCTGTTTCTCTTTGGGCAAGAAAAAAAAATAATAATGTGAAAAAGTATATATAAAAACAACTCAGCATGTGATCCAGATGAGATGATACAAGGAGGAGATCAGGATATTATGAAAATATTTCCACAGGCCATTTAAAAGTCCACGACAGCCCTTTGCTCCAAGCGCTCATAGATTTTACGTAGCAAAACACCTAAATCTAATCAAAGGGAGGAGCACAGTAAAGCTTGTAGGTTTAGCTGGTGCAGAAACAGACAGCAGAGTCAACATGTCTCAGTATCTGGCGCTGGAGGTGGAGTGGAGTAATGTTTTTTAAACATGGGGGTTGGGGCATTTGTGGTTTTGTTGGAGGTAAAGTTTGATGAGAAACTGTGAACCACAATGTTTTCTGAATGACAAAACATTACTTACAAGACAATCCTTTAAATTGAACATGATGTAATCTCTTAGTTTTATGGTTTAAGCTGTAAAATGACAGCATTCAAGTTGATCTGACTAGTCTTATCATTTTCTGCGCTGTACTGTACAGTCTGTTACAGTTTAAAAGATCCACATCTGTTTATACGGCTCATACTTTCTCACAAGGGTGAACAAAACTGCTGTGAAGTTTATGCGTTGAGAACTGAAACTTGTGAAGTTTAAATGTTGTGCAAATGTTCATTGATTTGAAATAAAACAAATCTTATAAAGATGAATAATGTCTAAGAGGCTCAAATCTCTTTGCAGTATGTTTTATTGTTGCACAATCAGAATGTGCAGCACGTTTCTGACTTTAAACATGACCTCTGTACACGTATTTCTTTCTAATCACAATCTGAGGAGTTCATCAGGAGAAATGCATGACTCAGTGTTATCCCCAAAAACACTGAATTAGCTTATGCTATAATCTGATAAAAGGCATCTAATGGCGACATTTATGTTTGAGTTGTAAGGGTAATAAAAAATTTTAAGCTTTAACGCTTTAAGGATCTGCAGCTGAAACCACTGACATTGTTTAAACTAAGAAGAAAAATATTTCCTAGTTCACAGTTATATGTTCAGTAGAAGTGTGATTTAAAAAATATTTATGAATATGCTAATGTAGGTGTGAAGGTGGAAATGTGTATTTCGTGATGTCGAACACCACTTCAAAGTCTAGGCTAATCTTAGTGGCTCAGAGCAGCGGTTCAGATCTTTTCAAGTGTGTTTCTGTCCTGATCTACTACCGATTCAAAAACTTGCAAAATTGATAGCATACAAGCTGATTTACAAAGTGTGCACTGAGCATTGTGTTGTCAAACGAGTAAAATGGAAATTAATTTAGCATGTTTGTTTTCAAAATACAGTATTTGTTGAATATCAGGACATCTAAAATACTGTGGGGATGATATGCAAATGTTAATTTTTTTCACCCTGAATGTGATTTGTAAAACCTGAATCTGACTGCAGTTGATGTTTTGTGCGTCCATCAGACTGCATCATTATGAGTATATGTCTGCGGTCATTGTGGTGAGGAAGAGGCACAATGAGGGATGACAGAGAGAGAGAAAAATGTTCTGTCCTGCATGTCTTTGTCCCACCCCCAAACACAAACTGGAATCTGTGACTTAAATTTCTACAATAGAAATAGAAAATAATCGTCACCTTATGTGCATTGTGCAATAATACATTACATATAACGCATTAATGTCTACTGCTATACCAAATTTAATTTTTTTATAATTTTAAAAATATACATATTTATTATTATTTACCTGTAACTTATTACATTTTTATTTATGCACTTGATTTTATTCATAGTTGTTGTTTTGTATTCTCTGTCTTTTTCTTTTTTAAGGGCCAAGGAATTTTTGTTGTAGGAATGCAAGGACAAATAAAATCCTTGAGTCCTGGAGACATAAAAATAGTACAGAGACTTATCTATCCAGCTGAAGAAATTTTGTAACTGATTAATTGAATATTAGATTCAGTTTTGTATTTTATACTTTCTGATCA